TTCTGCTTTCTTCCATATAGCCATTCTTCTATTCAATTTGCTAACTTATCCCCCACACCTACAGAGAAAAATTTGTTTTACAAAGCTTTTATGTGGCACCTTGTCAAATGCTTTCTAAAACTCCAGAGACACCAAATCTACACTCTTACCCTCATCTACATAAGCAGTAACCTTTTCAAAGATTTGTAAGGCAAGATTTTCCCTTAGTGAAACCATGTTGACTATTGAATAAAATTCTAAACTTCGTTAAATGACTTTGCAAATCATCTTTTAACAGACTTTCCAAAATGTTTCCCACAATTGATGTAAGACTAATGGGTCTATAATTACTGGGACAATTTTTATCCCCTCCCTTTGAAAAGAGGATTAACATTAGCTAACTTCAAGTCTCCTGGCACCCACCCACTATTTAAGGACCTAGAAAAACAGTAGCAAGTGGCTCACATATCCAATCTTTAACCTCCTTCAAAATCCTTGGGGAAATATTATCTGACCCAGGAGCTTTATTGTTCCTTAAACTTCACAATTTTTATTAACCAGTTCAGAATTAATGCAGTCATCTAGTTGAATCTTGTTTCCATCTATCAACTGTTCAAGATGTGGAATACTGCTTAAATCTTTGTCAGTACAAACCAAAGAAAAAAGCAAAATTTAATAACCAGCAAGAGCTGGACATTAAATTTTCCTTAGCATCAACCAAGACAATCAAAAACTTACAAAAAATAAATTACAAAGAGGTTTGGGAATATGAATATTCACTATTGACTTCAGGGCCCTGGAGATACTACCTAAATTAACACTTCTGAATAATCTTTAACCTTAAATGATTCACATTCATGAAAATCTGTTAATCCTAAAAGTGATGTGTTTGGTTTAATGCCTTTTATCATCTGCATGTTAAAGAAAAAATTCAGATTTATATAACATAGGCTCATAAACACATAGCTCTAGGATCCAGATTGAAATTAACCCACAGTCAGACAAATTAAAAATAAACCCATAAAAAAGCATATTTCACTTACAAAGAATATATATAGTTTTCATCTGAAATATATTTATTTCATTATTACAAGGTTAATAAAAATTATAATATTAATAACAAAAAACATTACACTGTATGTGTAAAAAGTCTTAACATAATTTTTTATATGTGATCCCCCCCCCCCAAAAAAAAAACTACCATAGTTCAATAATCCCGTCTTTCTGGGTTTCTACATTACTTTAAACTTTATGTGCTTTAGCCTAGGTTACGATATTTTTTCTACGAAATTCAACCTAAATCTTAATACAATTATGATTATAATTTGACTTAAAGTTAAAGCTGTTAAAAGTTAAATTGGTTCAGGTAAGTACGATTGAGAGTTTATACCAATAAAAAAATAATCAGCTTAGCTGGAAAAGAATCTTCCAAATTTCGAAGCTAGCGCAAACGGGTAACGACATATATATGAAATTGAATCAACTGCAACAAACAAAACTATACTTAATTTAAAAATTGAACACCGCGCCTACACAAGCCTTAATGGCCAACAACTTGCAACGGCAGAGGGCAGGCGGGAATCAGAAAGAAATAAAGTACAACCAAGCCTGACTATTCTTCACAAAGGCTCCAATGTAATATTACTAGTACGATTCAGTAACCGGTAGATATTAAGACCTCGTGGTTGGTTATTCCAAATGCAAACATGACAGGGAAGACAACGATCCGAGAAATCACATCTGTTTACCTCTATACAGATATCCCGCTAACTTTCAAGCATTACACATTCTAGAAAAACAAGAAAAATTAAGGTCCTCAAACCTGTAGCAACTTACCCGCGAAAATATCTCGACGGTTGCCATCTTGAAAATGACCTGCTAGCAAGGGTATGTATGCTTGCGCCAAGAAGCCTAGGACCTACTTGCGTGATTCGTGACAAAGCGTAGTAAATAGAAAAAGGATCGCGAACGTACCAGCCAAACACGTGGAATCACTGGAATGTAAAGATTTTTCATAGGGATCCAACTGAATTATTTTAAGAAATGTTACAAGAAGATTTCAGTTTTGACATAGATGTATGTCTTTATCTATTTTCATATTTATATTTGGTTAAAATCACATTCTTTACTTGACCACTATTCGCCAAGCTTCAATCAGCAGACGAGGGAATGAGTAAAGCAAATGTCACGAAAGTTTTTAAGCACCTATTTTATGCTATTACTAATTTTTATAGAGGTGCAGTATATTTTACTTAATGCTAACCTATGATATGTAACATAATATTCTACTTCTTATTTTTGACGTCATTATTTTATCACTCTCAAATGTATACATACGTTTTACATTCACACGTCACTGGCAGTAAAGCTACGACCTTCTGTTTTGTGTACGCAAAAATTAAAGTTTCATACACACATATGTGATGTTATTTATGAAAGACCTATATATATATATATAGTAGTTATTCTCTGTTATACATATCAAACAGACTAATTACAAATTATTTTCAACAAAGTTTATTCACAGTTGCTTGCAAAATATTAATTCAAATGAAATTTATTGCCTTCTTCGATAAAATTATAACATATGAAGCAGCTCTACAATGGTTTCTTGAGCTGTGAACACTCCTAGTTTACGAGTGTCTTCAGCAACTTCGCGATTCAGGAATATTAAATTAAAAATGATATTTATTAGAATGTCCATAATAACAGTGTGTATTTTGATCTCACGTGACCCACATAGCCCTTCACGTAACCTGTGACAGTCTCTGAACGAAGTTCTGGGATATTTCTCCTCATTTTCTCACCAATGCATTTCTTAAATGAGGCAGGCGGGAACTCCATTTCTGAAGCTCATCCCAGGTGTATTTTATTACTTTTAAGTCCATTCACACAACATTTCGTTGCACTAGATAAGCAGTGACGTAACGAGCATATTGGTGACGAATATATTATCTACCAGAAGGAACTAAGTTCAATGGCATAACAAAAAGACATGTCACTGGTTTCCAAAATCTCACCCTGTACATATCAGTATACATTATAGAGTAAGCAGTTACATCATCAAGAGCCCCCTTCACGATTCTATCATGTTTCCAGGTTTTAGCCTTTATTTTCATAACTGTCTACATTCTGTTTTAATAATCAAAACAGGTTGTATTAGTTTACACGAAGTTGATGTCCTTAAGTGAATGTAAACAAATCATGTTTCTTAGTGGATTTACATGTCTTTCAGATCTGAAACTACGTTATTGTCAGTAAAATGAGATCTTTTTTTATATTAACACAGTAACAACAGTTTGGTAAGTATGAACATATTTTTCACATAGAAAACTTGAATAATTTGGCTACTATTCACATCTCTTAAGTAATTATGTTTTTCTCTGTTTCTCACGGAGAAATGGCACAACACTGATATTTTTAATAATACTTTATTAGAGATATAAGGATAAACTGAGTGTTAAATTCAGAGCTAAATCCAGGAACTATAATATTTTTCAGTATTTTGTAGAATTCTATCTGTAAAACACGATTTTCTTATACTTGCTTGCGTTATGATTAATGTATGACTTGTGCTAGTACGATTAGGTTTTTAATAGCAGGAAGTAACACCTTACAAAGATATATTTGACATGGAGATTATCACCAGATCGTCGATGAGTTGTTTGTACTACGAACAATGTCTGTATTGTACTAGTGACAAATACAAGTCATGTTAATCGTGGATGAGTTGCTTGTACTACGAACAATGTCTGTATTGTACTAGTGATAAATACAAGTCATGTTAATCGTGGATGAGTTGTTTGTACTACGAACAATGTCTGTATTGTACTAGTGACAAATACAAGTCATGTTAATCGTGGATGAGTTGTTTGTACTACGAACAATGTCTGTATTGTACTAGTGACAAATACAAGTCATGTTAATCGTCGATGAGTTGTTTGTACTACGAACAATGTCTGTATTGTACCAGTGACAAATACAAGTCATGTTAATCGTGGATGAGTTGTTTGTACTACGAACAATGTCTGTATTGTACCAGTGACAAATACAAGTCATGTTAATCGTGGATGAGTTGTTTGTACTACGAACAATGTCTGTATTGTACTAGTGATAAATAGAAGTCATGTTAATTGTGGATGAGTTGTTTGTACTACGAACAATGTCTGTATTGTACTAGTGATAAATACAAGTCATTTTACTTGGATAATTTTAAGAGTACAAGTTTCTATTTCGTTGTGCCATTTTATTTTTGTGTAGGTTAGAGTCTTTAGTTAGTTAGATGCATTGAGTTATAATTTATAAAATACAATGTCCCACAGTAAATTTAAAGTTACTGTTCTGAGCAAGCGTTGTTTTCTCCAGTGAAATATTACTGTTAAGTGAAGAGCCTGTATTTAATTTAGTCCACTCTGTTACTGGTGATAAATCAGCTTTAAGTTGGTCCACTTTGTTTCTGATGTTAAATCAGCTTTAAGTTAGTCCACTTTGTTTCTGGTGTTAAATCAGCTTTAAGTTACTCCACTCTGTTTCTGGTGTTAAATCAGCTTTAAGTTGGTCCACTCTGTTTCTGGTGTTAAATCAGCTTTAAGTTGGTCCACTTTGTTTCTGGTGTTAAATCAGCTTTAAGTTACTCCACTCTGTTTCTGGTGTTAAATCAACTTTAAGTTGGTCCACTTTGTTTCTGGTGTTAAATCAACTTTAAGTTGGTCCACTTTGTTTCTGGTGTTAAATCAGCATTAAGTTACTCCACTCTGTTTCTGGTGTTAAATCAGCTTTACTGGTTTACATAATCACTATCATCATAACAACTGGACTTGAACTATATATATAGAGAGAAAGAGAGAGAATGAGAGAGTCTGAGCAGGAGAAAAAAAACATATAATTTATGTGCAAACACCTGTTTTATCTTTCTTAAATATCTAACAAGAGAAAAATATTGATATTTAGTTATCCAGTTAGGGACGATTCTGTGAGGAGTTTAACTACATGTTAGAAAAGCGTGATGACCGAAATGAAATATCTTTTGTGTAAAAAATCTTCGTATCGATCCACCTTGTGAGAAAAAAATACCATATCAAGTTTATCTGTAAATCAAACAGATCTGATTATCCACTCAAAACAAGCTATAGTAGAAGATAAGAACTAAAAGTTAACACGGTGATAAATATAATTAGTTTAATATGTCGTTCACATATGTCGTTCACAT